GCCCAGCTGCTTGTGACACGCTGTCACACGGGGACAGCTCCCTGCACCTGACCAGGTCAGCTCCGATGGAAGGAGAAAGGGTAGGAGAACAGAGCCAGTAGAGAACACTTATGGTAAAAGGATGGCTGGGAGCTTGACAGCGTTCACAAATACAAAGTGTGTCTGGGAGGACAACGACCAGCTCAGTTGCTCTCCTTATCTCCCGAGTATAACAGGAAAAAAAGAAAAGCTGGATACACAGCAGAATAGACAAGACACAACACTGGAAGGCCCATGAGAAGCAGACAGGCTGGCATGAGCGGGAACCCGTCAGAAGGGCCAGCCAGGGGCTTTCAACAGAGGAGTCATTGCTGCCTCTGGTTAGAGGTGACCTTGGCGGAGGGAGAGTGCCCCACGTGCATCTGTGGGCTCCCTTGCCTGGAGCATCTGCACCCTCTGCCTCTCCTCCTGTGACCCGCAGCTTAAGATCTGTGCAGGTTTCCTACCTGAAAAAGCAGGGCTGCAGCTAAAGCAATCAAACAAAAATGCCCTGATGGCCTTTTCCCATCACGGAAATTGGCCAGCCCCGATTCTTCCAGTTTTCTTGGCTGCTCTGCTCATGTATAACCCGCAGCTCCCGGGGTCTGACACACGTAAAGCACAGCCACGCTCAGTGACCAAACCTGTCTCAGAGACACACGCCCCCTGCTCGGATCCCAGTTCCCAAGCAGTGTGTGGCTCCCACCCTATACCCCCATTTGATCTCCTGATGCAACCATCCCCACCCAGATCTCGCCACCTGGAGAGCTTTATGTGCTGTGACTTGACTTCTGGTTATAGTGCATATAAATGTCCAAAGGAATTTTCTTTTTCAATCACCAAATACCCTTAGGAAGTAGCAAAGTAGGGACTGGGATCTCTGATCTGATATTGCTTTGTGACTCAAGTGTTGTTCGTGCACGTGCGTGCACACACAGCAACTATTCCTAAGACTCAGCCTTTAGAATGACATTTACCCTTAGGTGCGTCTCCCTCACCCCACTCCACCTCTGGCTGCACCTATGCCTAGAGACCAGGAAACATGTGCAAATCCATTTTCAATCAGATTCACAAAAAAAAAAAAAAAAAAAAAAAAAAAAAAAAAGAGGAACATACAATTAATCTGCATGGCAGTTCCCAAAGAGAATGGCTTTTGCGTTACACTGACACCCATCCCGAGAGGCTGCTATGGCCTGTTCTGTGACATACACAGAGCTGCACATCTCCTACAGGCTAAGCTAGGCCAGCAGAGTCCTGCTTCACCGACGTCCACAAGGTGCACCACCCCAGAGCTAGGAACAAGCCAGCACCAACACCCAGGAAAGATGCAATTGCCAAACGCAAGGAGCAGCCGCACCTCAACTAGAAGTTTGTGATATTTTGGTTCCCCACGAGCACGGGTCTCTAGGGCTGATGTTAGGCAGTAATTCACTGCGGAACAGCAAGCATAAAATAGGATCCTTTCATGAAAGGGAAGCCACAGGCAGAGAAAAAAGAAATATTTTAGCAAAGAAATCGTGTCTTCCTGGGACAATACTGACCTGGTCACCCCAACTTGGGTCAACTTCACACAGACACCCTGCAGCCAGTTATGGTGGGGTCTGCCTTAAGATGTTTACCTGTAGCAAAAACTGACACAGTAACAGTCTGTGAGTTAGTTCTTAAGCTCCTAGTCACCTCCTGATGACGGTAGCAGCGGCATTTATACACCACATTTTTTTTCTCAGTACACAACTATAACACTCACCATGGGAGAAGGACGCCAACCCCATCACACACACACCCCAGAAAACATAAAAGACATCCCAATTGGCTCTTTCCTCACCTCCTTTCCCCCTGCCTCATGTGATATGTGCACTAGAGAAATGAAATTACTGTCATTGGGAGTAAATAACTGGGACCTACACCTTTCAAACCAAGTGACAAATCAATCATGTTGAGGGCTTCTAGCTAGCAGCAGTCTAGCTCCTGGGCCCCTGGAATCCACAGCCAACTCCTTTACCCTCAGCAAGCCCCCCAAGCCCCCTCCCACCCACCCTGCCCACGTCGAGTCTCCTGTCATACAGCAAAGGGCTCTGAAAAGCCCTTGATACACACAGGAGATTATTACAGGGCTCAGAGATGCCAACGTTGTAATTACGGCTACCATATGATTTCTATTATTCTCGCACCCGGGTCTCAGTTGCTCATAAAACTTCTGGCAAAAAAAAAAAAAAATCCTCCCACCAGCACCAGCCCAAGGCTTGTCAGGGCTGAGCCTGCCCAAAAGCTGACTGTGGGTCTGATAACCCCTGGGCACAGCAAGTCAGTTATCACAAAGAACAGGAGTGGCACTTGGCCAGCGAGGGGTGGTGGTGGGGAGCCTATTGTTCAAAAAATAAATAAATAACAGGCTAGTCCTGCTTCTTATTATTTCAGACAACAGATTCGCAGCCCATTCTTCCTTTCCCAACTCAGACTGTCCCAGGCAAGCAGCCCAGGCTGTAGCAAAACCATCCTGATGTTGGCACTGCGAGTCCACGCAGTGCAAAGTCTGGTGGCCCCGCAGCATGGCCAGGCTCTGCCCAGGGGCCCCCGCGGCATGTCGCACGTGACCCTTCTGCTCCTGCCTCACTAGCTGCCCTGCTGCTTCAGTTAAACTCAACATCTCAGGCGGGTGAGACAGAGCTGTCCTTCCACACACCTGCCAAGGGTGTAGGTGGGAAACGCCGCCTGCCCAGGGTGGAAAAGGCATTAACCCTGCTGCTTGGGCAGGTGGAGCTGTGCCTCCTGCCCATGCCAGGGGTGTTGTTTGCTCCCGTAGGCTACTGGGGGCATCCTCGGCTCGCACTCATGAAGACGGGCAACACTTGGCCTTCCCGCCAGCCAGGCTGGCACAGGTCAGGCAGTACCAACCACCGTCTACCTCAGTGCACCCGCATCTGCAAGTCTGACTGCCTCAAGGTTACAGGACAGGAAACAGGAGTGACCTTCTCCCCCAAGAGGAAACAACTGCTGGTTCTGTTCCACACACTGAACTTGTAGTGTTCATTTCACAGACACTATATTCCAACCAGCTCAGACAAGGACAAAAATAAATCCTCCCGCAGGGTCTACTATGGCTTACCAGCAAGTAAATGACCCTCTGGCAGGTGGTAGGAAATACAGGGGCTAGGGATCCTTTGGGGCAGGTACACCATGCCCAGTACACTTAGGGTTGTTTCGCGTTATACGTCTTCGTGGTACCAAGCTTGTGCTCCGCGGAGCAGTTAAAGCACACCCCTATTGCCTTGTTTACCTGTTGATTCTCCACAGTTCTTATTTGCTCACAGCCACAACCAAAACTATCAACAGACTCGCACTGTATGGGTCGTCCATGGTCATGCCTTTGCGAATAACAATTCCCTTTTCCAGCAAAAGGGACTCATCAGATTCCAGGGGAGAACTGAGCCATCTGAGTGACCAACAGAAAGGTCCACAAGGCCTTTGCCTGCCCGCACCCGCGGAGGACCACTCCGGCTTCCCAGGCACAATTTCAGCAGGCTTGGCTAGCCGATCTCCCCAAAAGCAGGAAACCACAGACTGCGGGAGGGGAAGGTGTCGGAGCGCAGCAGCAGTCCTGACGGCAAGTGGAAGTGACAAGTGACGACAGGCACAGAGGAAGAGCCAGGAGGCTGTGATGATCAGCCACGGTGCTCCTGCCTCGCTGCACTTTTTCTCTGGGAAACTCAGTTCAATGCGGGAGTGAAAAATTGCAAGGAGGCCAAGGCAGCAACGGAACCCGCTCTGTGGTGGGAGCAAGGAGGTGGGAGCAAGGAGGCACGGGCCTGGGAGATGTGTGCACGGCGCTGCCCTCGGCAGCACACGGCTGCTGTGTGTCTGCCTCTTCCCGGGCCACGCTCCGTGTGCAGTGCGCGGCGCACATCCTCACACAGAGGGCCGTGGTGCCCCAGCCGCACGCACTGCCTTCGTTCCCAGACACTGCCCCCACACTGCCCCTCACGCACAGCTCCCACCCCGCACACCCTGCTCCCCACCTCCCGCCCCGCCCACGCTCAGCTTCCAGACCCACGATCCGATCCACAGACAGCAATGATGGAGGGTGGCAGGAGAGCGCAGTCCTCCAGGTGTGCACAGACATTTCCACTTGCCCGTGGGAAGCTAATGTCCAGAAATACAGCATAGAGAAAAGCAAGGATCCTGGCTCAGTCTCCACTAGGTAGTGCCTCTCTACTCAGCCTGAATCACGCAACATCCAGAGAACCCCAAGGAAAGCTGATATAAGACAAGCCAGAGATACACATAGAGGCACCACTGTTTCCTGGGGAGGAACTCTAGTGTAATTAGCATCCCACAGGAACCGGAACCTCCTTCCTAAAGACTCAGGAAGGCTTTTACCTAGTCAGGAGGGCCAGCCCTGACTCACAGAGATGAGAAACCCAGGCAGAGGGCATCCCCGAACGGACAAGTGCTCCCAACACTGTGGAGGAGCCGAGACGGCCCCATAACCAAGCAGCCAGGCCAGACCCCCAGGTCACGACGTTCTAGCCCACCTTCAGCAATTCCCTCTCTCTTCCAGCACCCACGGCTTCCTTATTCTGCGAGTTGAGTCAGCTCTCAGTCCCCCGTCTGTTCCCTAAGTGGCCTCCAGAGGGATGCAGCGGCCAGAGGAACAGGCAAACTCCCCGCCCCGTCATCCTTCCCCAGGCTGGACCCTACAAAGCCCACACCTTCAAGCATCAGCCAAGCGCAACAGAGCACAGTGTTCGGAGCAACCTGGCAAGCCTGAGCCACACCTCCCGCGTGCACAGCAGCTCTGAGGAAGAGCCGACCCCACACCTGCACGCAGCCTCCTCCCTCAACAGCCACAGTACGAAGGCCAGAGGAAGGACAGGGTGATCGGCGTGCCCTCCGCAGTGGCCGTCCTCAGCCTGAAGCCATCTGGGCAACCCACAGCAAGACGATGCCTGTCCCCATAACCCAGCGGCACACCCCGGTCCTACCTTCTTCAGCTTGCCGCTCTTGGTGCCCACGAAGGCCAGAGAGTGGTTCTTGTAGACGTACGCGATGACAGCAGTCATGCGGTCCCTGTCCTCTGTGAAGACGGGGATGCCACGCACCATCTCCGACACTCCCAGGGGTGCATTCATATCCAGGCCACAGAAGTTATCGTCGATGGTTAGGAGCTGGAAGGACACAGGCACGAGAAGTGAGAAGGGAACACGAGGGGAACATGAGGCCAAGAAATCAATTTAGAGAGCACTGGGGCTAATAGGTCCCGAGATGGATCCTGCGATACAGATCCCTCAGTTCTGGAGCAACTAGGCGGCCTGCCACCTAAGGAGGCAGCTGTAGCACCATGGCCAAGGCCAAGGTCTCTCCTCCGGAGCTGCCAGGTGCTACCCTGGCAGCTTGATAGCCACCATTAGGACCACATGGAAAAGCACTGGGCCAGGGCCCCTGAGCACGGGCTCCAGGCAGCCTTGTTCGCGTGTGAGAGGGATGTGGTGAGCACATGCGTGTGCGTAAGTGGACAATGGGGAACGGGAAGCACTAGCGTGGGAATAACACCATCAGGCACGCTACAGTCGCTGGGGAGAGGAAGAACAGGCAGTGGGAAAGCTCGTGACTCAACTCACCACCAGGCCTCAAGAGCCGCCCTCAGGCTCCTGCCTCTCAGAGCACCCCAGAGTGAACCCCTCTGGCCTTGTCATGCCCACCCCCACATTTCTCAGAATATCCCCTATGGAGCCCAAGCTCCCCAAGATGCTTTATGTAAAAGGCACCCCCCTCCCCGATCCGCCATGGGGCCGGTGCTGTGGCATAGCGGGTAAAGCCTGCACCTCTAATGCCGGCATCCCTTAGAGGAGCCAGTTCTAGTCCCAGCTGTTCCTTTCCCCATCCAGCTCCCTGCTAATGGCCTGAGAAAAGCAGCAGAGGATGGCCCAACTCTTTGTGCCCCTGACATCCACGTGGGAGACCCGGATGAAGTTCCTGGCTCCTGGCTCGCTCCTGGCTCCCACCTGGCTCAGCCCTGGCTGTCGTAGTCATTTGGGGAATGAACCAGCAGGTAGAAAAATCTCTCTTTTTCTTGTCTCTCCCTCTCTCTCTGAAACTCTGAGTTCCTAATAAACAAACCTAATTTTTAAAAAAAGAAAAAAAGGGCCCCCCCCCCCCGGTAAATTTCTGGACGTCATTCTAAGATCGTTTATCCAAGATATTCATACTGATCAGTCCCATGAAAGTCTTCTTAGGAAGAACAACGCTGAGCTTCATCTCAGCCTTTCCCAAACACGTGATTCCATAAATCAACTTTGATCATCACGCCTGCTAGCATTCCTAAAGAGAACATTCTCTACGAGTCTCTGGGACACAGCAACCAGGCCTCTCCTCCACCTCCAAGAAGCACAATCTCAGGCAGGGATCAGAGGCCAACAGGACAGGACTCTGCGCTGGTGCCCCACAGTGCTCCTGGTGGCCTCCCCCCGTCTTTACAGAGCGGGTCCCGGCAGGGTTCTGTTGTGCCAGGGGTTAGCAGGCACCTTGAGGATGGCTAGCGAGGAGTCCACAGTGCCCCCCCCCAAAAGCCCTGAGCTGTGGCTGGGCTTGGAGCCCTCCCTGTCCGAGGCATGGGAGCTTGCCCTGGAGCTTCCCCCGTTGCTCGGAAGAACTGTGCAACCCCAGAAGAGTACGCGCCGGACACCTTACAGCTGGGTCTTCCTGCACTTTTCATTTTCCACTCTCTAAAGATGGAGAGAGGCATCCCTGCTTTTTGATGGGCTACTGTGGCGCCTGTTGAGCTCACGCCTGTGAAACTATTTGGGCCTTTCAGAGAAAGGAGTGAAATACAACACAAGGCTTCCATCCAGCCAAAGCTAAAGACATCTGGAAGCCAGCAGGCAGGCTCTTGCCAGCAGAGCTGTGTCAAAGTGGCCAACTTCAGGCTCCCAGGGCCTCGGTGGGGGGGAGGGGACTCCTCCACTACCTCCCAGGAGCCAAGGGGCAGGCATCGCCAGCCTCTCTCTCTGACCTCACCCCTTCCCCCTACCACAGTGGGAGCAGCCAAGGTGGACAGGGGAGGGTGCAGGAAGGCCACGTGCAGAGCCCATGTCTGCTCCCTGCCTTCTACAGCCTCTGGCCCCTCCTGCGTGGTCTGGCTCAACAGCCCAGGTCAAACACACCTCTCTCCTCTCCCCCTAAAAGACACCACAGGTGTCAAGTTTCCGAGGGAACTGTCAAGGTCTAGTCTGAGGTCATCATTCTCCCCCTGCAGGAGAAAATGGGGAGGAGCGAGGCGGTGGAGGGTGGTGGGGATAGAGAGAAAAACGGAAGGAGAAACCTAGGTGAAGGGAAGGCAATAGTCTTTCCTTGCTGCAACTGGCCAGCAAGGCCAAGGGCAGCCTGGGGCACTGGGAGTCCTCACAGCCCTTGAATATTCTCACTTTCAGTGCATAGGGAATCCACGTCCCCAGTCTGCCACCAGCAGACTCTGTACTTCGCCCATGATGACCCATTTTCCAAGTAGATGAGGCCCAAGCGTGGGAAACTGAGGCTGGGAGGAAGGTGGCTCATGCCTCACAGACACCCCCAGGACTCATGCACACACACAGGCCTGGCTAACCAGGAAGCTTCAGGCCTCTCAGCCCCACTGCAATTCTGAGCCATCAGGGCTACCCGATATGATTCTTCTCCTTACATAGGCAAAACACAGGCATGTCACCAGCCATCTACCAAAAATGATACATGTGATCAAGTGCATCATTCGATCACATCTGCTTGGAGGCTGGAGGGTGAGGACCCGTGCACCCCTTCCTCTCTGTTCCCTGGCCCGGCCAGGGGCCCAGGAGTGTTCCCAACAGGAGGGCGTGCAGACAGCCCAGCCTGGCAGCCTGTCCCCAGAGCTCTGCCTGTCTCCAGCTTGGGATGGCTCCTGTGGGGGCCCATCAGCAGGGAGGAGCTCAGTCTCTTCCCCTGCCTACCCCAGGGCTGTCACAAGCCCAGGCATTGAGAGCAATGGTGGCTCCATTTCTCTCTCTGAATGGACCCCAAAGGTGATGAAGGCACCCTCAAGGTCCTTGACCGAGTGCAGTCTGTGTCTGCACCTGTGTGGATGCTGAGCCCCCACCCCCCCAGCTGAATCAGGAGGGAGCCTTACCCTGTTTCTGCAAAGCTAAGGATTCTTAACACTGACATGATGGAGGAACCACAGAACCGGTTCCAGTGGGAATCAGCGGTCTCCCAACTCCTTTTGCTCTCTGAGTCTCAGTTTCTTGGCTGTCAAATAGAAAGGACCCCGGGTGGAGGGGAGGGACCTGGAGGACTGGGAAGTGTTCCCCCCGTGAAGGATGCCGCATGCTGACACTGTTCGTGGAAATCCTGCCCAGCCCATAAGTGGGAAGGGTGCCGGAGCCGCCCACGCAAGCCTCTCCTGAGCCACAGCCATGGGGTATTCCAGCATGGTAGGACACGAAGGAGCATCTCCCAGGGCCTGCAGACGGGGGTGGCAGGTGGATAGGGAGCAGCTGCCAGGCCACCTGGCCTTGGAAGGAAAGGCTAATTGGTGAAAGCCTTCAACGGGTGGGGGCTGGTGTGGATTCCTGAGCAGCTTCGGCAATGGGGGAGCAGAGTATTTTCTCTGGCCTTGGCGGAGCCTTCCCTTGGGCCCCATTAACAGTGAAATTAGAGCCACAGACAGAGGAGCCAGGGGCAAGTCTGCTGTAATATGGACCCTAGCCATGCCCATGGGACCAGGGTTGAGCATCTCTTCCTGTTACTCCACAGATACCCACAATGAGCTGTGGCCACCGTTATAATGCCTATTTATTAGGGAGCAACTCTGCTCTTACAAGGGAGGAAAATAAGGGCCCACCCCATGGGAATGCATGTGGTGCACAGCTGAGCCACCCTGAGGCTTTAGACTGGGCCACACCACTGCATTCCTCCCTCTCCATCAACAGGAGACACTGTCTTTTGCCTACTGCCTCTGGAGTCCTTAGGGAATGCATAAGGTACAAATTAAGAAGTGTGACTGACTACAGTCCAGGGGCCATGGGTTTAGGGATGAGGACTGTGTTTCATGCATCTCTGTACCCATAGCATTACGCCTGGTTCCTAGTAGGTTAAGACACATTGTGGATGGATGGGAGAATGGACAGCTGGATGGATGGATGAGCAGGTTAAGAAATGTGTTGGATGGATGAATGTGTGGGTGGTCGGGCAGACAACTGGGTGGATGGGTGAATAAATGGATGGATAAGAGTCTGAGTCTCACAGTGGCTAAGTGTTCAACAAGGGCCAGAGGGCTGAAGTTTGAATTCTAGCTCTACCATGGAAAGCTAAGTGGCAGTGCTATTTACCCACTCTGACCTCTCTGCGCCTTAGTCCATCACCTGAAGAATGGGGCATTACAGCAACAGTGCATACGTCTTAGACTTGAGATTAGGATTAAATGATTTCACACATATAGGACGATGTCTGGCCCATAGGGAACACGATGGGGGCATAAGCTCTTATCACTGGCTGTCATCACTCAACAACTCGGGTAACTTCTCCTTTAGGACCCATCCCAGAGGTGTCCTCAAGATGGCAAGGACCCAACGCTGTGGAGATGAAATCTCCATGGAGGTATCTCCTAATGCATTTTCCAAAAAGGACAGACACTTGCCCGTGCGGGGCTGCAGGAAGGAACAGAGGGATTGTCGCTCCCCCTCTTCATGGGGGAACGACATTGTCCCAAGGTACCTCCACTTGGTCTGAAGTCATTGCACTCACCCAAGCCTTGCACTGGGGAAATAAAGAACTCGATATTCTACACTGACAGCCGGTATGCTTTTGCAACAATCCATGTTCATGCTGCTCTACCGGGAATGGGGACTGTCTCTCCCCCTCTTCGTGGAGGCACGACACAAGACCCTGCGCTGTTCTTTTGTCTGCTTGGCCCTCCCCGGGTTTGCTGCTGGTTCTTCCCAGGTTGGCTACCGACCCTTCCACCTCCGTGGAAGGGCGGTTCCCCCTGCCACTTTCCCCACTTCCGCGGGGGAGCGGCACACCGCCGGCCGGCTCTCTGGGGGCTGCTCAGGTGTTCCCCTTAGATGTTCCCCGGTGCATGCTGTCTCTCTCCTCCTTTATAGTCCTCTTCCACCAATCCCAACTCTGCTACCCACACGCTGAGTACGCTGCTCTCCTC